CCATAGTTTATTGTTACTTTACTTCCCTTGGCTCAGGAGACATAACTAGAAAAATGTTGCTACAGCCAAAGTCAGAGAAATGATGGCCTGTGTTCTCGTCAAGGATTTTTATGGTTTCAGGTCTCATATTAAGTCTTTAATTCGAGTTTATTTTTGTGTATGGTAAAGAAATTGGTCCAGTTTCATTCTTTGGCATGAGGCTTGTCCAGTTCTACCAACACTATTTATTGAAGAGATTGCCTTTTCCCCCACTGGATAGTCTTTCCTGTTTGTTGAAGATTAACTGCCCATACAGTTGTGGATTTATTTCTGGGTTTTTGGTTCTTTCCATTGAGCTATGTGACTATTTTTATGCCAGTACCAACCATACTGTTTTAATTACTACAGCTTTGGAATAAAACTTGAAATCTGAGATTGTGATACCTCCAGTTTTTCTTTTTCAATATTGCTTTGGCCACTCAAGGTGTTTTGTGGTTCTATACAACATTTAGGATTGTTTGTCTACTTCTGTGAAAAATGATAGGGATTGCATTAAATCTTTAGATTGCTTTGGGTAGTGTAGACAGTTTAAAAATATGTATTCTTCCAATCTATGAGCATCAGATGTCTTTCTATTTCTTTCCATCATCTTCAATTTCTTTCATCAGTGTTTTATAGTTTCCAGGTTGTTCAAACAGGTTGTTCAAAATTTGGACCCTGTTTTAAAAAAGCTTTAACTCATCTATTTTGCCTCCACCTCTTCTAACCTGTGAAATATCCAGGAAAGGCCCAGTCTGAGTTTCTATAACCAAGTGTGACAGGGAGGGAATTCTCTGAAATGGTTGAAAATTATATGTATAAAAGTTACCACAGTGACTTATCACCTTACACATCTCAGAATGGGTAAAATTCAAAGTGCAAAAAACAAATGTTAGTAAGGGTGTGGAGAAAAAAGAACCTTTGTGCACTGGTGATGGGATGTATATTGGGATAGCCACTGTGAAAACCACTATGGAGGTTCCTCAAGATTAAAAATAGAAATACCATATGATCCAGTAATTCCACTACTGGGTATTTATTTACCCAAGGAAAATGAAAATACTTATTTGAAAAGATATATGCACCCCTATCTTTATTGCAGCATTATTTACAATAGACAAGATATGGAAGCAACCCAAGTGTCCACCCATACATGAACAGACCACACACACACACACGCACATACACACCCACACACACACGCACATACACCCCCCCACACACACACACACACAATGGAATATTACGCAGCTATAAAACAGAATGAGATCTTGCCATCTGCAACATCATGGATATACCTAGACGGAAATCCTAGATGATTTCACTTATATGTAGGATCTAAAAAAGGGAACAAGTGAACAGAGAAAAGGCAGAAACAGACTCATAAATACAGAAAATTGACTTGCCAAAGGGAGGGGAGGTTGGGAGATGGACAAAATGGGTGAAGGGGAGAGGGAAGTTCAGGTTTCCAGTTACAGAAAGAATAAATCACAAGCATCAAAGGTACAGCATAGGGAATATAGTCACTGGTATTGTAATAGCATTATACATTAACAGATGGGAGCTACACTTATGGCAAGCATAGTGTAACATACAGAGTTGTTGAATCACATATTACATTGTGTGTCAAGTAGACCTCAGTTTAAGTAAATATACCAAAGTTAAAGAACAAGTTTCTATGTTATTAGTGGAAGTACTAACCAGAGATTAAAAGATTAAAAATTATCAAGTCCAACTTTTTTCCTACACTGGTCTTGCTTTATTTAAGTCCATATAACTAGCAAGACCTTAGAAACCTTCAGGGGTATTCAGATACCCAAGGAGAGAGACTGCTATAAAAATGGTCCTGGTAGTTGTGCCTCTATTTCTCTATACGCTGCCTGAATATTTTCTTCCCTATGAGCTCCCACTCCTACATCACTCTTCAGCACAGTTCAGTGGCATTCTCCAACCTTTAAATCTTTAGCCTGTGAAGGCACAGACTCCTAAAACAAGGATGGGCTCAAATGACCAAGGGTAGGAACCATGTCCTGCTCCTGGAGAACAAGCTAATTGGGAGTCTCAGTCATCCACACAGTCACCTCAACATGGGCATGTTATCACCTATCCAGATGAAGCTCCCTTACTGATTTGACAAGTCAGTCCTACCCCTGCCCAGCCCTACAGGTACATGGGAAGGGCATCACAGACTTAGGAAAAGAGGCGGAGTGAGGAGACAGCTTGCCTTGGGCCATACATCTCTATAGTTCAGAATCTCCACGCCCCCCCCAATTCCTTGAAAGGATCTAAGCCATCCTCCCTAAGTTGGGGTGGAGGTAGATGATATCATATTTCTATTTGCTGTAAACAGACTCTTCCCAGCAGCTCAAATGATTTTTAATCTCTCAACGGAAAATCTGAAGTATGCTTGCACCTTCAATGAAACCAACACACACAAAAGCAGAAACCTGTTCAGGACCCTCTTGAACTCTCTATTTGAATATGCCTTTCTAAACAACTCCCACAATCCTGGGACCTTCATTCCTGTCATTCACCTTTATCTAACTTGGCATAAACCCCAATATTCTGACATCTTATCTAAAATTCTTATTCCTATCCAACTCAGTGTTGTTCTTCTTGAAACCTGGTCTCCTCTGCTAATTCGATTCTTACCCTCCTTCATTGTATTCATTAGGCCCACTCCCCAGCTTTCTGTTATTAAAACATTTGCCTGTAAGATGAAAAAAAGAAAGAAAGAAAGAAAGAAAGAAAGAAAGAAAGAAAGAAAGAAAGAAACCTGAATTTAAATGTCATTTCTGTCACTTATCATATCCAAATAGGTCACTTCAATCTCTTTTGAGTTTCAAATTCTCCATGTAAAACAAGCATTTGGCAAGGAGGTTAAACATGGGTTGAAATACCAGAGGGTATTTTTATGAATTAATCTCTGAGGTTCCCTAAATCTTGAGATTCTATGTGCTTTTGATTTGGCCTCTGGAAAAATGGAGAGTCCTTAGTTGGCAGAAGTGGAAAAAAAAATGGAAAAAAAAGAAATACCAAGAAAAGCAGAGAAGAAAGTAAAAAAGCAAAAACATAGTACAGAAAAGTCATGGGGAAAAGTCTACAAAAAAAGAAAAAGCTCCCTAGAACTAGTCAAGGGTACTAGCCCAAAGGGAAAACCAGACTGGGAAGTTAGGAAACAGAGATCAGATAGAAATATCCTCAATGCAGTGGAAGATGGCGGCGTAGGAGGACGCTGGGCTCACTGCGCGTCCTGCTGATCACTTAGATTCCACCTACACCTGCCTAACTAACCCAGAAAACCACCAGAAGACTCGCAGAATGGAATCTCTGGAGCCAAGCACAGACGAGAGGCCCACGGAAGAGGGTAGGAAGGGGAGAGAGGCGGTGCGCGCTGCACGGACTGGCGGGAGGGAGCCTGGGCAGGGGGGAAGCCTGCCGGCCAAGCAGAGCCTCCGAGTCTGGCTTGCAAAAGCGGAGGGGCCGGACAGAGTGTGTTCCCACAGCAAGCGGGACTTAACAACTGGAAGGTTGTAAGTTAACAGCTCTGCTCTGCTCGGAAAGTGGGAAGTCTGGAGGACAAAGGGAGGGAGAGTTGCTGAGCCCCCGGAAGACAGAGCTCAGTTTGTTGGGGAACAAAGGCGCTCACCAGTGCCATCTCCCTCGCCCATCCCCCAGCCAAAATCCCAAAGGGAACCAGTTCCTGCCAGGGAACTTTCTTGATCCGCGCAAACACCCAACGCTGTGCTTCTGCGGAGCCAACCCTCCGGCAGCGGGTCTGACTCCCTCCTGCTGCCACA